CCCCCCCCACACACACACACACACACACACACAAACATATATATTAGAAATAACTAAAAATGAATGAAGGATAATAGGAAAATAAATCATAAAAAGTTAAAAAATGAGGCTTGCGGCCCGTCTCCCGCACTCACGAGAGTCACAGAGTCCCACTGTGTCGTTGCTTAAGTCGCGGAAGGGGGGTGGGGGTTTCGACTCCCGCGTCACTCTCCTGAGGTTGGAGGCATTTATCTTATCTGTCGAAGCTTCTGTCTCCTCATAATAGTCAGGTTGTTCATGTTGAAGGTGTTGGAGCTGCTGTTACTTTTCGGTAAGTCACTCCTGTCGGCAGCATCATTCTAAATCACATCATGATGGAATAAATATCCACCTGCTTTTGGTACAACTTGAGTTGTAGCTGCATATAATCATAGATTCTTTAAAAGTAACTCTCAAGCGAGTATTTCCGTAATTTGCAACTTCAACTCCTTGTACTCAACTAAAAGTATTTGGTAAAAAACTATGTAAGGAAGGTTCAACTTCGCGACAAAAACTGTGACAGGCTGCACCACTCTAACTAGAAATTACTTAGGAGAGACATCTTCTTCTTATCTGATAGAATATGGATCCCATTGAAGAATTTTCTTCCCCAACAAGCTCCTAAGACAACTTCTAAAGTTGTGGTTCATCCCTTCTGTCTTGACATCTAATGGTGGGTAATGCTGAACAAAATCTGATATCCGAATAACTTCATATAATCTTCCAGATATGACACAAAATAATCCCATTTATGACATTCTAGACCTCCCTCTATAAGATCAACTCATGAAGGAGTTTATAAATATAAAACTTTGAATTTCTTTTATCTTGGGTGGCCCCGTGTCTGATATCGAATTCTCAAACATATGACACTTTTGGATAATTAAAGCTAGTCTTGCTGATGCTCTTCTTAATGCCTACATAATGGTAACTCGAGGCACCACAATCTCATACTCTACATAAACGTTTGTTACTGTCGGCGCTTAAAGGGGAAAAGAGTTTAATGTTTGGGGGTCGCCCGTAAGAAGCTGTCGGTCGCCGGAATCGAAATCCCGTCGCCCGCTTCGGAAGGACTTCTTAATTTACGTATATATATATAATTTTAGAAAAATATGAAATCAAACTGACCTCATATTTTCCATAGTTTAAATGAAAGAGCACTCAACCTCAAATCCTGTATCTACCCCAAGGGATAAACACAAGACTTGAGGGTGAGACTCGATCAAATAAACTAAGAAAGATATGACATCCGTTTGGGTCTGCGAAACCGTTTTATTTGCCGATAAGTTCCCCTATTTAATACAAATAATTAAATAGGGTTTATTTTAAGCTGGGTTCGGAAAAGCTCCCTATAAGGGCAAACCCCTATAGTTAATTACATCTTAAATGACCGAAGTCACCTAAGAAAACTCTCGATAAAAA